AAAAAAAGGTACAGCTTAGAAAATTGAAGTATCCCCCTAATGTACTAATAAAAATATATTCCTGGGTGAAATAGTCTTTAATTTCGTACCTTTGTCTTTCGTAGTTGCTTTTTCATATTTGTCTCTTGTATATCGCAAGGAAGAAGAAACATTGCGCGAACGTTAAGAATGTTAGCAGCGATTACGTTTAATTTTACTCTTGTTGTCAACAAGTCGTAAAAGTCTGATTAATTTTTTTTTTAGCGCATATCGCGGAATCTCGTTCGTATACGCGGCACAATCGTAAATCAAGCCGTGTGCGCCGCGCGAGTTGGGTCGGCTGCGCCCAGCTTGTACTTATTAATTTAATCGTAAATCAATCAACGCGCGTCGCGACCTATGTACGCGCGATAACTGGCGAATGTTCAAGTAACAGCGACATTAATATCCATGCTCTCTAGTAGCATCCGGCGCATGTATAATTCCTATTAGGAAAGTTCGCGCAGCAAGACAGATATACGCTTCTCACAATCTATTTAAATTGCATATTTCGGATTTACGGGCTTCTCCTGCGTCTTACCCATGTATAATCATTATCTAAGTTCAATGATCGTTGTATACACTCAATATTTATAACAAATTTCATAATCAGATTAATTTTAAAGCCGCAAAGTTCAAGAATCTAAAAAAAGTTTAAATATTTCTTCAACAGTGTTATGTGCAGTGCTAATTTAAATTATATATATCCGATTATAAAAGAGAACGCAATTATGAGAAAAAAAAATAGAAAGAGAAAAGATCGTAACTTTGCACGCGGCATCGCGGCAGAGAGACATCGCTAAATTTAGCGTTGAGGGAAGAATTGCAATTCTGTGCGCGGCGAACGAGCTTCCGGTTCCTGTCCAAACTGTTACTCTCGCAGCTTGCATTTATTCCACTCTCTCTCTCTCTTTCCTCCGTTCTTCGACGCCAAGAGAATGGCAGCCTGACTTGCAGCTGCGACCTGCGACACGACGCGCGACGCGTGCAATGTATTTGGATCCGACGATGACGACAGCGTGTCGTATCAAAGTTAAGAATACGACGGCCACACGGAACGAGGATTACGCGTCCGCTCGTTCGCTTGGTACACTCTTTGTAACCCGTGCATGCAGATGATAACCTATGTACATATCGCAGTCGTCTGCCAGCCAGCCAGCGGCAACGGCGTCGTCACCGGAAACCACCAGCAATCAACCAGGCAGCCGAATATCTTTGTGTTGAATCGACGATAAATGACTCTGCGATTTCTCAGGCATATTTTTCACCAAGTTAAAACTCATGTTAAATTCTCGTGCGTTCTTTTCGCTTCGCATTGTTAGCCTGCGTGATAAACTTTGACGCTGCAATACCTAATGTGAGTTTGTATCAGCTGAAATAATTTATAAAGTCGACAAAAACATTTTGTACTACTATTAATAAAGAAATAAATCCTTTGCCTCAGAGACTTCTTTATATCGTGTTAGCAACGCGCTTGTAGCGCTATTTAATTGTCTAATTGATAATTAATGTTTCATACGCGTATGAATAAAGAGATTTAAAAGATGGCTTTGGCTCCTAACATATTTTTCCAAGATTCGCAAACGGATTTCCAACTTACGCCAATGGATCAAGCGACCGACTCCCCGCTTTGTCTTCTTACTATCTACTCACGGAGTTTGTAAACATCTCCACGACGACGGACTCTTCTCGCGGAGGAGATTTAATTGCACGCGCGTTGCGCCGCGTCGCGCCGCGCCGACCACCGTTCTCGCGGTTTCGCAATGAGGAAGTATCGCGAGGAGGATCCGCATTAATCAGTAATCAATCCGCGTCTTTACCGGACAAAGGAGGAAAGCAGCTCCGGCTCGCGCCTGGCGCGACGAGGATATCGTCACGCGCGACCGCTTCTCTCATCCTCACTCTCGGTTAATTTGCCCGGGAGGAACTGAAGTTTTTCGCAGACGAGTTTCCTCGTTGCGTTATCTATTTTTATCGCACGACCAATCGGAGTATAGGATAGCGGTGACACGGATACGCAACGTCGCGTGATTTATTTTTTAAACTCATATCGATTCATCATTGAAATTACCGCAGCGTGAATTTTCGCTGACGATTGATTTCTTTTCCTCGCTTCTTGGCTGTCAAATTTAAATAACTTCGACAGGAATAAGAAATCCAGACTGTCTAGAAATCAATTGTGAGAATCTTTCCGCGTTATTCGAGTGGTATTTGTTCCTAAAAAATTATTGCGATGCTTTCGGAAACGCAAATCTGTATTGTCATTGTCGCGTACGTACGCAAATGCGCTTCTTTCTGCGTTCGTAGAGAATGCGTTTTCCTTTTATCTTGTGGCGCATTAAGTGGCTGCGTATAATGCCTGCGTAACTTGCGTGTCACACAGGCACACGAACATGCGATTATTCGCGTATCAGTCGAAAACGAAACTCACCGGAATTACGATTTTCGGTCTTCGGTCGCGACGATTGGGTTACGGGGCACGTGCGCGGGGAACGATACCCCGCAGAAAACTTGAGAAAGAGAAAGAGAGCCGGTTTCGCCTGATGGCGGTGCCCGCACAAGACTCGCGGAAATCTTGCGAAAGCCCCGAGCAGGTTGGGTATTACGCGCGCAAACTCGCTCGCTCGCGCTCGCGTTATGTAAATGATAACGCGCAACTTCCTCAATAACGATTAAGAAATACGAGCGGTTCCTACCGGCGGGCTGGGGTTTACGTAAACACGTTTCCGTAGCCGGTAGAGTCTCGCCAGATCCCATCGATCCCTGTCGTCGGAGTGACACGCGCGCTCACGTCTTTAACGTCGCCACGATCGTCGCCGTTCCGGCAGAAATCCGCTCGAGGGGGGGCCCCATTTAAGGCGGAACGGTTTTTCGAGCCGACAGAATCGCCTTTGAATATTTCGACATCCGCTTCGGGAGGTGTGTTTGAACGTCGATTCGTTTCCGCACGACGTATAACCCGCGCGTACTCATTTTAATTTTTTGTAGGAACTTGTAAGTAAACGTTACACAATCTCGCTTGCATAACACGTCGAGAGAGATATCGTAACATCTATTTATATCTAATAAATGTGACAATGCGAAAACGATCGAAACCTGTCTAATTTTGTATCAGGTATCTTTCGAGTCTTTCTGTATTCATATGATCATATACGTATATATAACGTATAAAACGTTTAATATTTATATGAATCATCGCGAAGCTATCTCACTGGGAAGTAGCGTCACCAAAGTAGTTCGGTATCTTAAAAGTAGGCTAAGCACACCTTAAATTATTGCTGTAGGTTAAATAATTGTACCTTACGTAATTGCATCTAATTATATACGTTTAGCATCAAATGGCAGCCGTTCAAAATTACACCAAGATATGCTAATAGGCCTTAATTAACATTTTAGAGTCCACCTTCGCGTGATAAGATAAAAGATTGTTGTACATAAGATTACATATAATTATTACTGTCATGCTTTATTTCATCAGTGTTATTATATCCATTGTTTCTTCATGAATTCCAAACAAAATTGATTACTCCATGATTTCGGGCGCGATCGAGCGACTCGTTAATTTCTCGTGGCGCGGAAAACTCGCGGTTAATCCGAAGAATCCTCCGATTTGTCGGGCTTTCACGAGAGACGCACTCGCATTCCGCGTTACACGGAGACGACGCGGACTTATTTACCCGTTCGCGATGTCCCGCGCGGAGGCGAACGCGCGTTTGACGTCAGCGACTCGCGTTAATTAAATTCCGCACGACCGGTTATTAACATCGTCAAGCGGATTAAAAGCGAGGCGGCCGGGGCTTCCAGCGGATTTCCGGGTATACCGCGCGTCGCGTCGCGGCGCGCCGCGCCGCGCCGGAATTAACTCCTCGTGCTCGGATACGGTAACGAGCCCACGGGCTGCGTTTCGCTCCGCGTATCTCGAGCGCGGCCTCCACGAGGAGAACCGAGGAAGAACGAAAATGGACCGGCGTCGAGTGGCTGACCTTTCGCATATGAGAGCTCGACGCGTCTCGCCGCGAGAGTCGCGTCGAGACGCGAGAAATAGATTTGCGGGATGGAAAATACCGGCAACTTTTCCACGAGAACTGTCAAATTGAAAGCGATAAATTTAAATAATTTGCAAAATTAGGAATTTCGAAGGAGAGGCGAATCGTCGTTACCGCAATCAAATGCAATCTTCGTATGTTATTCATGAAGTAATTTCCCTGATTTTCGTATCCGTATCGATTATAGGTTTTCGCTATTAATAATACTGCATTTAAAATCGTTGTGGATGCAACTTTATTTTAGTGTTTGCAAAAAGGAATGAAAAATAAGGATGATTGGACACACTTAAAACATAATTTGCTCAAACTATAGCTGTAAAAGCCACATTTTCAGGTGTTATATTTGGCACAAAGAAACAATGTCATTTATACAGGCGCCACAAGCGCCTGGCAATAGTCAGGCAAGTTAAAATTAAAAACAATCAATTGGGAACTATGACAGTTCGAGATCAGGCCTGTTTTTAAAATAGTTTCATGTCCATTTCTAAATATAGATTAACTTTAATCTCGGTTTAACTTATTCTTTATCTTTTTCTAATTCTTAGAATTAGAAAAGGATAAAGAATAAGTTAAACCGAGACGAAAGTTAATCTGTATCGATAGAAATATAAAGACACATCATTCATCGCGAAACGCGGAGTACGCGAATGCGAGCGATAAATCGCGAATCTCGAGCGAGTTCCGCGGCGTTCGTAAAAACGGCGAATCTCGCGATTCCGCGAAATGCGGAACGGCGCGGCACCGGTGGTGACACAGCGAGGGTTTGTTTACAATCGGGAGAAACCGTCGAAGGAGCGTCGAGCGCGCGCACCCGCCCCCGACTGTGCGTGGCATCCTACGTGACACGTACGTATAGGTATCGGCGCGCACACACACGCGCGCACCCCGAGAGACGGGGAAGAAGGACACCGCGAAAATTCGTCGTCGGACAATTACCTCGATATCGCTGCCTCTGCTTCGTCGTCCGTTGTCGGCGCTCCGTCTCGCTGCTCCGTTCCTCTTCGTCGATAAAAATCCTTTGCCGGGGCACCGACACCGAGCTGCTGGGACTAATTATCACTTGCCGTCGCGTTCCAACCGGGCACAAATCATTCCACCGTTGTTCATCGGCGGGGGTTCAAATTTCGTCGCACTCCTCGCGATTCGTGCGCTCCACGCACGCACGCATGCACGCACGGGGACGGCACGCGGCGCGCGTAATCAGGTCGCGGCGGGCGGCATCCGCGCGCGCGAGATACCGAAAGAGTGAGAGAGTGAGAGAGAGACAGAGACGGCGAAATTATCCCGCGCGGAAACTCGTCGTCGCGGCGCACGTGAACACGTGAGAGGGATTACTATCCTGGTACGCGTATCAGCCGACGCGTTCGTCAAGTTATCACAGAAGAAAAGAACGGGAGAGAATCCTCGGTCATTCGCACTCCCCAGTTTTAGCGCACTCGTGTCACTCGTGATTTGTCTCTCTGGCTTGCTTGCGTCGCGGCACTCGTATAATACTCCACCGGTGTTCTCCTCCGGTCTTCGCGATACGGCACAACGGAGGAGGCGCGGCGGGGGGGGAGGGATGACGGACGCGGGGACGTACGCGCTCGCGCGGAACGGACAACGGCCCTCGCGGAGGGGGGAGGCGCGGAGGTGCGATATATCACCCTCGTCGACGGCGTTTCGACGGCCTCGTCGTTGCAGCAACGCGGCGCCTGCGATTGCGATTTGCGATCGACGAGCGGCTTCGTACCTCGGTACTGTCGCGTTACGAGGTCGGCGAGCGACTGATCCGTCCGCCGCGCTGTAGGAAGTGTCGAGTGAAGGTTGCCGCCAGACGCGCGACATCCCACCCCACCCCACGCCGCTCCGCTCTCCGCTCCGCTCCACCCGACGGACGCCCGGTCGCTGCGCCGCGATGGTGCGCCGTGCGCGAGCGAGACGGCACGATGCCGTATTACTATACTCCGGACTACTCCGGAGAACAAGTGGAACCGCTCGGCCGACCATTGGCGGCCACCGTTGGCCAATCGCGGGCCGCCATTGGCGTCGGCGCCAGCGGAAATAATCGAACCGCCGTCATCGCGCGGCTGAAGTGGGGTAGATCGCCGCGAAGTCGCGTCGTACCGGCGAGGGGGTGAGGACGGAAGGGAGAGAAAGAGAGGAACAAGGAGAGAGTGAGATCCCCGGCCGACTTCCTCGTAGCTTCCTCGTAATCGCGATCGTGATTGTCGTCGAGTTAACCCCCCCCCCCCCCCCCCGGCCGATCGTCTCTCCTCCGCTTTGCCGCGCGGCGTAAAACAACGGCGATGGAAGGTAGGTAACAGGCGGCCGGCCCGGCCCGCGGGCCGCGCGATGACTTTTCATTTCCTTCTTCCTTCGGCCCCGACTTCAGCCCCGGAATCCACTTGCGTGAACTTTGCAGCTCCCGCGCGCGCTCGCGCGCGCGCCACGATACGCGCAGCTACGTTCACGCTGAGATTCAAACGGGCTACGCCGTTGGCGCCCGCGCCGCTCGACTCCGGACGACGAACAGCTGAAAATGGTCACACGTCGACGTTCGATGCTCCCGCGCGATATTTTTGCACGCCAGTAGCGGAGTGGCCGCGTAGTTCACGTGACAGATCGATTTTCCCGGCTAGATATACGGTAAGATAAATATTTGATATAATAGCGCATGTTTCTCGTGTAGCTGTTCTATATAAGTTTTATTAGCTGATATCTCAACTTTTCAACGTTCTCAACTCCTCCAACCGCATTCGTGGTTATACTCGCCGAAATGCACTTGGAAAATTCCTGCGATCTTATATCTTCGAAATTGTTCAGGTATTGTTTTTTCGCATAAATCTTTGAGATAAATAATATTACGAAAAATCACTCGTACATGCGTGCGCGAGCGAAACGAATTTTTGACGATCGAGATCTTTTTTAATTTATTTAAAACATACTTGAGATTGAGATAAATTATAAGCACCATTCCATCTTTTGCAAATGCATTCCTTATCTTGGTTGTCTTGCTTTTTCTTATTATACATATCGTTATCGTGTAAGCTTAATTATATTTTACTGTATTTACCGGTTTGACGAAAATAAACGCCACGATCGCAATCAATATACCGATTGTCTTAATATCATATAAATCGATCCGGATATCATTTGTTGTTCGCGGTTGTGTTAATGTTACAATAAAGGAAAAAAAATGAACGTGTTAATTAATTGCGAGATAAGATGCGCTTAATCGAACGGGAAGTAATCAAGTTTAAACGATTGAGTGATAACGCATTATGTCCCATTCTACGGAATGATCTTAAAGGCTTAAACACAATACAAAGGTGACAGATAATAGGAACAGAAAATAAGCCAGGAAACAGAAATGACCGCACTTCAATAATATAATAGAATCGGAAAACTGTGATTGGTCAAGTGCAGGTAATAATAATAGAGAATAGAAATCCAACGCGCCGGAAATTCTATCCCTATTGGCCTGGTTTACACCGATCTCTTGATACGCGTATCAAATAGTATATTTAAACTGATCAGTCAATAATCAAACTAATTTACTAGTTATTTACTATTTAATACGCGTATCAAGAGATCGATGTAAACTAGGCCTATGTCTATTTCATATTCCATTGCGTTTATACACAGTTTAGTAAGTTGAAGTGTGGTTATTTCTGCTGCCTGTCTTTTCCTTTTCTTATTCTCTGTTGCCTGTATTGTATTACCTTTGTATTGTATTTAAGGCTTAACCCGGGAATAGTCATCCGGGGTAATTTTTGAAAAAATAAAACTCCCCACCGGCACAGTAATTTTCTTTACTGACCTAGAATTAATATATATAGTTTACTTTTCGATGGTCCTGAAATCCAACCTGCATAATAAAAAGAGTTAATTTGTACACTAGTGCTTGTTGGCGGCGAAGACAAGCTCCCTAATACATAACATAAATTATATATAATAATTTCAAGTAAATTAAAGTAATGTTTATATGTGTAACTTGAAAACCCTAACAAGTTAAATTTTAAATTGCACTATTTATGTATTTATTTTTTTTCTTTGTTACTTTCTAAAGTTCCGCCAAAAATGTATAGCTAACGTCGCCAGTGACCTGTATATTTATAATACCAACCAATTGAAACTTACTGAGGCGTAGAAATCACCCCAGGAAATCGTTTATGTTAGAAAAATTAATAAAGTATGGTAAGAATTTACATTATAAATTAGAAATAATAATATGAGTTTGAACGAGATTGAGTATATCTAATGTTTATAAATGTTTATAATGTTTATAAATAAATAATAATATATACATAATCATAACCACTATAATATAAAATAGGAAGAAAAAAATTGAATAAAAACATGTGTATCTAAATGCTTAAAAAAACAAGTAATAAAATAATTGTTATAAATTTTTTTATTATAAAATGTGTTTTGTTAATAACAAATATAATATTTCTGTATAATTTGGAAAAAAAACACAATATCACATTTTAAGTGTCACATATATAAATACCTTTATATGACAATGAGTTAGCCTTGTCTTAAATTGCTATAAAATAAATATTATCTATAATAAATCCTTTTTTTTAATAACTATTTTTTACGATCTCTCCTTTAAATGCAATCCTATCGAAAGCCCGCAATATAAAAGCGTATTATTAATTGCTATGTCTTCATTTTTGTAGAAATACTGTCACAATAAGTTGCTTAATATGTTTCTTCCGTTTGTTTAACATATTTTTAGTTTTTTGTTAATATTTTTAGAAAATATTGCGTAAATTTATACATAATTCCCGGGTTAAATGGATCACATTGGAGATTCCTATCGCGAAAGACAGGAGAACAAAGTAGAATTTTTGAGTGGGAAAGAAAAGTCATTGACACTCCGATTTTTTGGATTAAATTATTAATGATATAGCTCTGATAGCTTACACAAACAGATAATATACCATTTCACTGATAATCGAAAACGATTGCCGTATCGATAAGAAAAAACGCGAATGTAACTATCGTACGTTGTGAATATTTAACTCCGCGCGATAAAAAAAGATCGGGCGCTTATTTCAGAAAATAAAAGCACTTTTTAATGTCTTGCGAATAATGCGTTATTGTAGAAAATATGCACTATTTACTATCTTAAACTGTTTTTAACTTGAGCTTTTTTTTTTTAGTGCGACAATCGCATTTTTTTATCCGAACGTTCGCAACTTCTCCACACATTCCGTTATTTATCGCGGTATGCAAAAGCGCGATCGACAACCGGTTATTTTACGAATTCGTTCGTCCGCTTGCGATACACAGCGAAACGCGTCGCACTTCGAACTTGTGGAAAAAAAAGAACGGCGTCGGATCACAGGGGGGGGAAATGCTTGTTAAGACAACACTCGTGGAGAGACGGAGGGAGAAAGAGAGATATATGTATATGGAAGGGAGAAATAAGCGAAAGATAACATAAACGAGATATAAAAATTTTAAACCGGTCGAAATGTTTGCCATTCGTCCCAGGATATGAAGTAAAACTGCCGTCGGACTAGCGGATAATAATGAAAGCAATCTCGAGAATAGAAAATATTTATAAACTATGAATTATATACTTTTTGAAAAATTACTCGTTTTGATCAATTTCAACCGCGCTGTTGATCCGGCCGAACTCATTAATCCGCCATAATCTCGAACAAACAAGTCCATCTCCCTCCTGCTTCTCTCCTCCTTTCAACGGAACGATCCCACCGCCGCCGCTTATCTTCTGGCAGAACGCGAAAAGTGCTACAATACATTGCCACGCGCGACGCACGTGGTCTGGTTTTCAGATTCCTATCCTCTCTTTATTCTATTTGATATCGTGGCGGATAAAAATCACCATGTGATTCATATTGGGGAACGAGATCTCTCGATGGAGTGGGTTCTTCCTTAAAAAATATCTCGGGACACCGAATCGATATCTTCCGGGGAGCAGCGAATTATATATTATCGCAAATCAAGTGCACGTATTTTATGAACTCGATTTCGAAGGTAACTCACCGTTTACTTCGCTGTTTACCGAAATCAACTTTATTTTCGCACGGAAACGAGACGATCTCTCGGTGCGATATTCAACCACATTAGTGGTCATACAATCTGTATTAAACCCTGACCTTGCCACGATAATGAGTCTAATTTTTGAACGTGTGTCATTGGTTGTGTATAATCTCCCGCTTGTTCCTCGAGATTTTCTTCTACTTTTTTTTATTCTCTCGCGAAAAGTTTTTAGCAAAAGGCGCAATTTAGAAAAGCTGGAAGTTTTAGAAACCAATAATTCGGACAAACGTCTTGAATTACTATTGAGAAAGAAGATTCTAGCTGAAACATCGTTCTTTCTAGTCTGAAGTAGAGACGGATCAATATGCATTCACGAATCTTAACATATTTCCGACGGGCAAAGGTGACTTCTTAAATAAATTGCGTGCATTCCGGCTATATTGTTTTGCTTTAAAATATCTCCCAAAGTTCAATAGAATGTGCTAACGACTACTGCACTGCAAATCCAAGTGTGATGTTATTTTTGCACGCATAAACATCTAAAAATGACACACTTGACCAAAGCTCTTTTTACATGTTTCTTCATGTGTTAAATTACGTCATTTAAGACTCTTAATCGAATTAAATTAAAAGTTAATACATTCAATCGTGTTAAATGACGTGATTCAAAACGGAAAGAAATGTGTAAAAAGAGCTTCAGCTAAAATAATACACTTTGACTTGCAGTGTGTAATGGACTTATGTTAAAAAAATTTTTAATTTACAGTTCTCGACATTTTATTATCATTTGTATACGCACTGAA